CCACTTCTTCTTGCTGACGCCAACAACTGTGCGCTGGCTGGGTACACAACAGGATGGCGATGTCTGGACGGTTGGCGATTGTAGGGACAGCGGTTGTTGCACGTCCTGCCGTGCGTGTGCGCGAAGGAAAAGGCGTCTTTGGGTCAATTCCAGGTTTGTGTGGAGGCCAATATTGTGGCATCAGTATGCAAATGCACACACACATACACAAGAGTAGGATCTTAGACTCGTGTCGAGCACGGCTCCAGAGTCTGAATCTTTACTGGGAGCCTCCGTTGCTGCGAACTCCGGAATATGGATCTTGAGTGTGGGAAAGCTAGCGTCCACGAAGGCCCCGCCCACTCTCCAACCTTACCCTTGGTCTCGTCTATACACAGGAACGTCAACTGGCATTCCTGGCCACATCAGCCGAGGAAGATACCTGCCTCGTTTTGGTGGCGGACGATATCGCCACTCGTTTTCTGTGGTGAACGATATCACCACAGGCCACGTATGCTAGAAACAACCGAGCGAACCCCATGTACATTGGTTTCGACGAAGCGCCGTCCATCATCAATTCGGAACACGAATCGATGCCGGACGGTAGCTCGCTCGTCTTCTTCGCTCCTAGGTCCAACAGAAGAGGCGCGAAGAACACGAACATGCCACAACAAGGCATGTCTAGCAGCACCAAACCTAAACAAGGTTCACCTAGCATTGCTGGGAAGAAAACTAACGCTTCAGGTTCCTCGCCTCGCTCCACGCCTTCCAAAGAAGACGCGGGCGCGTGGTAGAAGGTGAGAAAAAAGGAAAACGGCGCAGCCGCCGAGGGTCCCGATGACACAAACGACGGGAACCCGTTTGCTGCTCTAGCCGAGAACAAGACGGACGCCGACAAGAATAAGTCGACGGCCGACGAGTCCTCGAGTAGCTCTTCTTCTTCTGACGAGCAGGCAGAAGAGGAGGAGAAAGGGGAGCTCCCCGAGCAAGAAGGTGGTCGCGAGGTGCCCAAACCCGTGCGCAAGTGGCTCGCGAAGAAGCTGAACCAAGCGCACGACAACGGCGAGGAACCTCCGGCGTGGGCCCTCCAGCTATGCGGCATGTCAACCAACGACTCCACCAGCACCGACACGACCGAGGTGCTCGAACAGGTGAACGCTACGAACCTTGCAGCAGATCTAGCAGCTGAGTCGACCTCTGGACACAGAAGTGAGACACCAGTTCCGTTCGGTCCTGCTCCCCGTAATTCCGCAAGTAATTCCGCACCTCAACAAGTTGTGGACACTCGCATCGCTAACACAAACCTCTACGGGTCTAGCACATCGCTACCACAAAGCACTATGCCTGTCAGCACAGACATGAACATGACTGTAGGACAACACAGTCTAGAAAACTCTAGGTTCCAACTCAAGCAGACAGACATCCCGGCCGGCCTGAAGTTGGAAGGCCTCCCCTCCGAAGATGTACCCGAGAAAATGGCTCTTTATAGGGCACACATCGGAATCCTGTCCGGCTCATAGGCTCACGCAACGTACGGTCCGTGCACAACAATTTGTCCAATAATTTCCTATGCACAAAGTGCAACTTTTCTTTGCACACCGGTGGTTGTTCGGAAACCTGAAAGTACCGGCAAAAGCCCTGTTTACAGGCGCAGGGCGTGACGGAGAGTTTTTGGTTTGTTGTTTTTTCCTTGACTTTTCACTTCCAGAAAACCGGAAAAAACTTGTTTCGTTTACAGGGGGTGGAGTTTCTTGCCGATTCACAAAAACTCAACGGATTTGGACAGATCTCGAAATTCCGCAGATGGGTATCTATTAAATTTTTCTAACTCTTGGAACTGAAGGAGATATCCAGGAAAAACTGGATCTATAGGGTCAAGTTGTTTCGTTTACAGCACAATATCTAAGGGGTATTATTATCAGGCCGAAAAAATACGTAACTTTTTTCACCGAATAGTAACTTTTTTCACGGAACCGGTTCTATGGTTTCCGGTGGTTCTTATCGGCAGAAGGTGCGAAGGGGCGTATTTTTTCAAAATTTTCGGAAAGCGCCACGGCTCGACGTACACACACCCGTCTCGACCAGGCGAGAGACCCGAGGACTCCCACAACAGACGTGATAAACCCACACCATGCGCAACAACGCCGTAGCAGTGGCAGGCCGGCCATCTAGAACGAAAACGGTGCCTCTGCGACTGCAGGATGGAGGTGAAAGTGGTGCAGCTGGTGGGCATGGTGTTGCCCGGATGACGCCTGCTGGCGCCGCACAGCTCCAGCCGGCACCGAGGGGCATGGTTCGCCAGGCCGCTNAAAAAATACGTAACTTTTTTCACCGAATAGTAACTTTTTTCACGGAACCGGTTCTATGGTTTCCGGTGGTTCTTATCGGCAGAAGGTGCGAAGGGGCGTATTTTTTCAAAATTTTCGGAAAGCGCCACGGCTCGACGTACACACACCCGTCTCGACCAGGCGAGAGACCCGAGGACTCCCACAACAGACGTGATAAACCCACACCATGCGCAACAACGCCGTAGCAGTGGCAGGCCGGCCATCTAGAACGAAAACGGTGCCTCTGCGACTGCAGGATGGAGGTGAAAGTGGTGCAGCTGCTGGGCATGGTGCTGCTCGGATGACGCCTGCTGGCGCCGCACAGCTCCATCCGACACCGAGCGGCATGGTTTGCCAGGCCGTTCACAGCAGGGTTACCCTCCATACCAATACGCAATAGAGGGTGCCACCTGGCGCGGGGATGATGCCGGGCTTCATGGACACTGAAGGTGCTAAAGCTCGTCGGGCGGCCGTAAGCATGATTCTCAACGACAAGCAGTTTGGCGAAGGCCCAGGGAAGAATTGGAGCGAATCGGAGAGCAGCGACGACGACAACGGGAAGGACGCTCCGATGTCAAGTGGCAGCAGCAATGTGTCGGTAGAGGAGAGTACAGCTCCGTCGGACACAGGCTCACAGGAGTCCGGAGATGTCGACTCGGGAGATGTCGAGTCCGGAGATATCGTGTTCGCAAAGGAAATACGGGAAGCAACACTCGGGGGAGGGGGAGCGGACAGAAAAAAATACCATGGCAAGCGGAAGGCGAACGCCGGCGGCAGCGCCATAGGGAACAGGAACTCAACAAAGGCAAGCCTAGGAGCGAGTGCCAAGAAAGCCCGGGGCAAGGACTACCCGCTCTGGGCCGCACATCTGCTGAGGAGGACATGCGCGCACCGCAAGATCCCGAGGATGTCGAAGGAGGGCGACAAGGATGTCCTGGTGCAGGCCCTGCGATCTCACGACGGCAACATGAACCGGCCATCTCCGTACTATGAAGACCTCAATGCCATCACAGCCGGTGAGATGCTGGTATTGTGTAGATTCGTCGTCGATGAGAGTTACAGCAGACGGCACAGAGTATTGAGTAAAAGTTAAGGTAGGTATGCTGCAGTTGAACGCAGTGTGCGTAAAGGTTACAAAAACAAAATTTCTGGTTGTGTGTATGTAGAATGCCTGGTTCAAATCGACCTGTTCGTACAGTAGAAGGTACGTCATGCTCGAGAGCTGTTTTATTTGCCCCAGAAAGTGGGAAAATGAAGGCACGCACAGCGTACTACCCGGCATGCGTTGTTGACGACAACCGGTGGTGCACGGACCTAAACGCTGAAGCTTTGGGTGTTCTGTCCACTCACGCTCAGAGGAATGTCCAGAGTTGAACGATTTTTTGGTGGAGTACAGCATGAGGAATATGTAGTTTTGCTCCGGTTGGGGGTGTACACCCGAGGCGTCCTCTCATGCGAAGGCTTATTCGTTGTGTGGGTCGCTTTCTCCTATCCCCAATGTTCGCGCAGGCAAATCTGGACGCAGCAACGGGGAGGAGGACGAGGAGGAGGGAGCCATCCCTGCCAAAGCACTCTTTACGTTTCCAAATGTGATCGGGATGGTCGCCATAGGACGTGACAGTAAAGAGCCGTTTAAAGTCGATAATGTGGAGTACAGTGCGGCGGACCTTTACGACGCCCTGGCCAAGGAAGACGAAGCGGGAACGGGGGATTCTGCGGCCGGGAGTGCTCCCACGGATGGTTCATCGACGGGTGGTGCAGCCGGACCGGACGGGGGTGGTTCCGTCGGAGGGAGCGGCAGCAACACGGAGCGCAAGGGCCCACACTGCATGATGCGGCTCGTTGGGATCCTGTGCGAAGACGC